GAAACCGACAATGGACATGTAAAAAATGGGTTTACAGGTCAGTGTTATGGATACTTGATATGGAAACCGGAGGTGTTCAATATCAAATAAAAAAATGTAAGATAAGTAAATAAACATGTAAATAAATAAACTGAAAAAACTTTTTTAAAAAGTTTACTATGACCTGGATGACTGAGAATCTGCACAGACATGTTAATAAATACAAAAAATGAAAATTAAAATAATTAAAATAATCAAAAATCATTTAAATGCTTAATACAATAAAATTATTATTCCATTTTGTGTGTTTTTTTTTTGTTTTTTTTTGCTTGTCTGTGGATTCAAAACAAAGCACCAGCTAATTAGAGCAGAGGAAAAATAGTGGTTATTGGGGAAAATGGAGCTGTGCAACATAAACAGACTTTGGACTTTTGAAATAAAACTTGCTGAAAATAAATAAAAATGAAAGAAATGCAGAATAAAATAATATTTCAGAATAATTAGCTGAGATTTTAAAGTGTATTGAATTATTTCACAATGTTATTGTTATATTGTGTGTATTTCTTTATGTGAGTATTTATTTCAAAATGTTTTATTTATTTCTTATTCGACACTGTGGCTCAAAAACTGTCGATGACTGTTGGACTGAGGACAGTGAAATCAGTATTACATCTAAGAATGTGTTGATTTAACCTGAGGGGAATTTACAGTCTATAATTTAAAAGAACAAACATGGTGGGTATTTCATAGACTGAATCCAGTACTTCTAGACTTAATATATTTAAGCTGGACAACTCTGGCAATGAAATATACAAAGAAGAAGTTAAACATCCAGTATACAGAATTTTCTACTTTCATGTAAGCTTTTATGGTGGAAAGTAAAATAACTACAGGACTTTTTTTTAACATTCACACTTTCTGTGGTGGGTGCATTAAAAGGAGTTTGGAAGGATGATAGAATTTGTAAAACTGTGGTGATACTGATGTGAATAAATGTAAGTTATTCACTTGTGGTATCAACGTTCTTAATATATGACACTTTCACAGAAAAAACTATATCAAATTTCACCTCAGAAAGCTTAACAGACATGTTCAAACATCCACCACAGAGAAAGAAAGAAAAGCTTTTAAAAATGTACTTTTAAGTGCTCTGTCATTTTGGCTGACAAATCTGATTTCTCCCAGACTCCAGTTGTACCAGTTGTGGGACACAGTGTGGGAAAGTCAAAAGAAGCTGTAAAAGTGCCAGACCATCTGGCAGTTCTGAGTTGAAAGGTTTCCACACCTGCAGCAACTGGAGAAAATCCTCTGAAGCTGCAAGCAAACGGCCACTTTAACAGACATGGGGCATCACCCAGGCACCTACTGCGAAATAAGACACTAGCATCATGTTGTCTAGACCAATTGGCACTAATGTGTTGTGACAGGAACCACCCCCTGTTCTCACGGGGCTGCACCCAAATCTGCATTGGACTTTAAAATGTGTGAGTGACACTGTCATATCAAACTCACTTACTACATTTATGGGAGTGTGTCTGTTTGGTCAGTGACTTCTGTTAAACCTTGCTCATGACTTCTCAGAGATTCTTCCTCGCTCCTCCATCCTCACTCCTCAGAGCAGAAATAAGAACTTTGCCACAACTTTCGCAATGCAGGACCAAAACAATCTCCAGGTGGAGCAATGATGATAGAACCTTAAAATACCCCCTGTTTTCTGTGTGCAGTGGCATTTATGTATATCTATAACTGTACTGATGGCTGATTTACTTGTGTAAGCATAAGACAAGAATAGCTAATGTGTTCATATCATATAAAAATGATTGTAAATACCATTCATATCAACATTCACGTCACATTTACCACTGGAAAACTCAAAATTTTCTGAAAGTTTTAATATAGCCTGAACACTGAGCACTTTATTAGGTACACCTATAAGACCAGCTGCAATTCAACACAACAAGCATCATAACATCAATGTTTGTGAAATTCATAATGTTTCAGTTTTTGGTGAAATTGTCAGAAATGTTTAAATTCAATTGTATGCTTATTATTGAAGTCATAGTTGAAGGTGGTGTTGTGCTGGACTGCATTATATTCGTAGGTGTTCTCAATAGTCTGACCCCCCTCATGTATGTAAATGTGGAGATAAAAATGTCATAAAAATCAAGCAAATATGTTCTCATATTGGCCAAAATTTGTCATTCAAGATAATTCCACTGGCATCCAACAAACATAATGTTGTATTGTCTATCCACAGTATTTCTAACTCTCACTCCACCAACGCTGCAATCATATATGACATGAACATTCAGAAGTTAGCACTGCTAAAACTAACAAAGGACCTACTTATCATTAAGCACTGGAAACCGTACCATCTTACTTTTGCTGGACCTTTAACACTGTTGACCATCTTATACTCTTGGGACATCGCAAAAATACTGTCGGCATTCAGGATACGGTTTTTGACTGGTTTACATCACATTTGAAAAAAAATCACTTTTAGTTAAATTTTCAAATGTTCTATCATTTCATGTGGTGTACCACAAGGCTCTATCTTTGGTCCTGTACTCTTCTCACTGTATACGCTAGCACTTGGGTCCATTTTTAGAAAACACAACATCACTTATCATTGCTATGCAGATTATACACAACTTTATTTTCCTCTGAAACCAAGTAAAACACTATCTATGGTTTCTTATATTATCTTGAAAGTATGAAATCCTGGATGAGCACAAATTCTCTTATTCTAAATGAAAATAAAATTTGGGTCCTAAGAGGTTCCCTGATAATTTGGCCAGTGCTCTCAGACCACTGTCTTCACATTTCTGCACATATGCCTGAAATTTAGGAATTCTTTTTGACTCTTCATTAAAATTTGACAAATGAATTCTGTTGTCAGCAGTAGGTTTTTTCATATGAGTCAATAGCAAAAGTTAATTTCTTTCATTTAGAGATTTGGAGACAGTCCCGCATGCTGTCATTACCTCATGTCTTGACTAATGCAATTCCCTATGTGGGAATCACTCATCCTTGGCTCACGTACAGTCAGTGATCAGTTACTACTCTGTTCCACATTCACAGTCCAAATCTAAAGGTGATAGAACTTTTTCAACTGCTGCTCCCAGACTGTGGAACAGTTTAGCCTTTAGTGTCAGATTCTCCACATCTGTTGCCACATTTACATAAGACTCATCTTTTCACAGTTGCTTTTGAATCTCCACAAAAAAACAGTGCCCTTTTACAATATTTACATTATTTTATCATTATTATTATTATTATTATTATTATCTTTTGTCCTGTTATTTTAATTTATGACTGCTTTTGAATTTTTTCCTGTGAAGCACTTTGGTCAATGACGTTTTTAAATGTGCTATGTAAATAAAACTGACTTGTCTTGACTTAACTTATTTTGTCACATTATTGAATTATCAAATGTCACTTTGTTTTTTCACCGATCAAAATAAAAACACACTGTCATAGTGAAAAGAGAACTCTACGAAGGAAATTAATTAAAATAATAAGACACTAAATAATTGATTGCACAAATATTCACCTCCTTTGATTATTTATTAGATGCACCTTTGGCAGCAGTACAGTCAGCTTTGCACAACTGGGCATTGGAATTTTTCTCCATTCTTCTTTGCAAAACTGCTCAAACCTTATCAGAATAGTGAGTAAATGGCCCTCTTCAGCCACAAATTCTCTACTGGATTGAGGTCTGGGCTCTGACTTGGCCACTCGTTATGCCCCTAGTCACGAGGACGTGTTGCTAGTTGACATATTTTGTAAGACTGAATATATCAATAAAATGTTTACAGATAATACAGTGTACTTGTTTTCCACTAAAATATTTGATGTTTCTGTAGTAACTACAGCATTACTAAAGGTTTTTATGGTATATTTAGGTACTCACAGCACTTGGTTAGACAAATTTGGTCTTGTTTAATACAGAGGGACTTTACAGTAACTTTAGACGCAGCATGTTTATTAACATGTAGCCAAAGCCATAATTATTTCCTAACCTTAACCAAAGTGCATTTGTTGTCTAAATGCAACCATAAATGGGAGAGTGGATGCAAACCCTGGTACCTGGTGTAACAGCAGCGTGGTTTATATACATGTCATCCATCCCAACAACCTCCTAGAAAATCTGTTGTCATTAAAGAATATGAAGCTTCATTCATTCAGAACAACAGTCTCTGAATATAAACCATTACATTTCCTACAATACATGTTCGCTGTTGCAATTTAGTTGGATATATAAAAATAAACTTTCTAGAAGACAGATATGACATGAGTGCCAAATAAATGCAAGGGTCAACATGTAAACACACAAAGTCACATAATGACTAATGCCTGTAGCAGGGAACAGGTGGCTTTAGTCCCCAAAGGAGCTGCTTTAGTTTGCAGATTCAAATCTGAAACAGTTATTGTGTAATCTTAATTACATTAATTTCCTGGATGTCTTATGTCTTTCTTATGCTGATGCTATAAGGAGGACATGTTGATAACCTGGTGCAAACACAGCCCTGTCATCTCCCACTAACTGCACAGATGAACAAAGAAGGAGAAACCGCTGTAGTCACCACTCTTATATCCATAAAGTGGAAAAATTAAACATGCCAACAAGTCAAAATATAGCAGTGCAAAACCGTATGCACACTAATGATTGTAATGGTTAGTGAAGCTCTCTGAACATGTGTTGCTGCCCACCCACTACAGCTCTGTCCATTAGCCTAAACATGCTTGAACCTGATGGTATAGCAACAGAGGAACTATTCAAAAAGAGACCAAATAAAGAAACCACTACTTGTACTGTATGTCTAAATATTGAACAGAAACCTACAGTGTAAAAGCATTATTGTAATGTCACTATTAGTAATGTCAGCAACCTGTTGTCATGTATGAAGCTACGCTGCATCTTGCACTGAGCAGTGATTGTCACTTGTCATCTCTGTTAGGTGCCTCATGTTCTTGAAAAACCTGATAATAAGTGAATGGACTGAAGGTGAGGAACCTACCTGGGGGGCACAGACAGTTGTGAGGAGCTTCCCTCACCTCCCTCGTCTTTGGCAGTCGCACTGCAAGCTTCTGCACAAGAAAGGGAAGAGAGAAAGACGGTTGTCACTTCAACATTATGTTGCATACAACATGAAATGTCTCTTGTAAAACATGACCTACATTTATCAGTAGATCCCCTTGACATTCAGTCAATCAAATCTGTGCATGCAGATGTCAAAAATGACAACCGACTTTCAGCTTTTGATTGCTGGGCTCTTAAAGACTGATATGCTAATGCTGCTAAATGTATATATGTATTGTTTTCAGAATCTTTCATTTGTCGTTTTAGAAATTCCCTGTCTAGAATTTTTCTGTTTGTGAGCCTTCTGTAAACCCACTCTAATCCAAGGTTTGTTAACAAATTCATAATTTTTTCTATTGGCCATTTTTTTCATATGTTTAACATGATATTATTAGAAACACATTGTAGCCCTTATGTACTTCATCCACATAAACTGGGTCCCAAATTGGTTGCATTAAATCCTGCTTAAAACTCCTGATGGCATCCTCAGATTTATTTCTTTTTAATTTATACACTTTAACTAATACTATTTATAAGAAGTCCACCTGTTACATCTCTTTCTGTGTTATTATACCAAGTATTAAACTGATTTGACTATGAGCTTGACAGTCCACCCCTGACTTTGGAAACAACCGATCAGCAGCAACAAAGTCCACCTGCTCACTTCTCCAGAGCTTTTGACTCTTTACTGTACAGCAGATGGAGTATGCAAGAAACTGCACATTTTAAAACCTTCCACGAGTCTGAACACTTTCAGGACTTTCATCCATGTTAAGAGTAAACTTTTATGCTCAGCTTTAAGCCGCCATGAAGTCCAGTTACAGTGCCATGACAACTGCCAGAACTTCAAATACTCATGAAGACCCCACAGTATGATGACAAGCTCCCGAATAAGAAAGTCAGTGAACCTTCACCTGAAATTACATGTGTAAAAGGCATCACATACTGTGAGAAATCAAGGCTTGAGGTAATAATTGTGCTGTAGTAGTCTGATTACTGTAAAGCCCATAAAAGACTAAGGCTACTCCAGTACATTCTCCACTACACAGCAGTCAGTGCCACTGGTAGTGGTCACTGGCAGAGGAGAGCCCACTCCAGTCTGTTCAGAGGGCTGCAACAGGTGCTGAAGGGGACATGATGCAGCACCATCACTCTGAGCAATGCTGTGGTATTCTGGATACTGACTATTGCCTTCTTTTTTGAAATATGTCAGATATTGACCATTTCAAAATGGCCGTAAAGCATCTTTTTCATTGCATTGTCATTCGAATGAGCTACAGTCAGAACATAATTCAAGTCTGGTTTGCAAAGTCATTTTCTCCTTCAGGTACAATATTGTCTAAAAATGAAAACAAAGTCAGTTTCACATTCAGAGCCCTGTGATAAACTGGCGACCAGTCCAGGGTGGACCTTGCCTCTCACCAAAGGTCAGCTGGGATTGGCTCCAGCCCCCCATGACCCTATTCAGGAATAAGCAGTATAGATGATGGAGAGATGGAATTTCACATTCGGTCTCATTATGATGGCACTGCCATGTCTGGTACTACATTAAAATATATATTTTTTTTTTTTCAGTGCAGTTTTCATTTTGAATTTGGCAATAACAATTTTCACATTTGAAATGCAAATGAAAATCAAAATGAAATGTTATTTCATTTAAGCATTTTGTCAGGAGGCCTGAGTTGAGATGATTTCAGTCAGAAATCCCCTATAGACTACAACATTGATTGGCAAACTAATGAGAATGAATGCAGAGATTTTTAGACTGCAGCTAAAAACGAAAAACGATAAATGATGATACATACACTGTCACACTTGAATGTTTTCATGGGAGTATAAGTGTTTTAAATGTTAACAAATTATATTTTATGAATATCACAAAATGCTCAGTTTCTATTAACAAATGCATAGGTAAACAATATATGGATGATAAACCTTCCCAGAAACAATGAATGATATCATCACTGAGAGACTGTACTTAAAGAAGCTAGGGAAACAGGAGTTAGCATGAACGCGAGGTCAGGACTACATATATATATTATCCAACAAAAATGCTAATGTGGGATCTGAAGCCTCTTGTAGCTGAATTCTGTACCTCTTTGTAGCTGCAGCTGATTCATGTAACAGGCACACTATTAGCACATGGGTACCATCAATCACACAGTCCTAAAGCATTTAATATGGTGTCATGAAATGTCTTATTGGCTTCTTCTTGAAAGCAATCTTGTGTTTTTATTACAAAAACCTCATTGTAACTTCTTACTGTGCTGTATATCATTACAGTATCTGTCAGCATGCCTGTTTAGTCTCATATTTACCTGTAATGCATCATTCAGGTAGGTGACAGTAGTAACGTGTGTGTGTGTGTGCGCATGCCTTTGTATTACTTACATCATGAGGACCGAAACCTGTTAACACACTCACAGGGTGGCAACATGATTTAGGTTTAGGATGAGGTTAGGGTCAGGGTTATGGCTAGGATACGTCTACAGGAAATGAATGTAAGTCAACGTAAAGTCCCCACAAGGAATGAAAACACAGTGTGTGTGTGGCTATCACTAACTATACTGTGACAAAGTATATTTTTCAGATTTCTACAACAGACAATGTGGCCTACAGCTCCCATCATCTCTCTGCTCTCACTATACACACCAGGCTTCTACAGGTCTATGGAGACCACTCTGTAACTGTAAATGTTAAAGAAGCTATTTCTGGGGCAAGATAATGACAGAGAGAAGGGGAGATCAGGGGATTCTTGGTATTTTAGGTGCAGTGATTTTGGGGGAGGATCGACTGAATTTGAGGACCTCACATACTCTTAGCTTTGGATGCCTGTTAAGATTGTGCAATTATGAGGGCCTGTGAACCTTCAGATATGTACAGTATGTATTTGTTTGTATTCACAGAAGAAATAAGTTGTTGCTTGCATGATGAAGAGGATACTAGTTTGTAAAACAGTGGGCTTTGTTTTGAGCCGTGGCTAGTGGTGTTTTGATGGATTATAGTCGGTAAAATATTACAAAATATGAATCGTATGCCTGGCAGAACGCCCCCTAGTGGACCTGAGATGTTGCTTTAATGTGCTTTATTGCTTTTGCTGTGTTTATTGTGTGGAAAAATGGTTTATATGACGTTGTAGCCGAGGTTTCGCTAAACATTTTGATGTATACATTGTTGGGGGTCGGCTATCACAACTCGTGCAGCATTCCTGTATTTACCGTTAAGCCAGGGGGCTGTCGGGTTGATAATCTACTATGAAATATTGTAAAGTACACATAATGTCAATGCCAATCTTAGGTCTGAGCAATAAATATGGTGCTGGAACCAGGACATGCAGTTTACTAATAGTCCAGTCCTGTTTGTATAAAACAAATTTTACTAGAAACATTAGACAGGTAAGATAGCGGCCTCTGCCTCAATTCAAATTTGACTGGAGTAGTAACAATGACCAACCCTGTGCTGCTGGAACAGGGAACATTTTCCATAACAAAGGAAACTGGTCAACGTTGAATGAAATGACAGTGGATTCTGGACAGTGTTGGATGAAAACACCACAGACTTCTCTTTCTTTCTACAAGAGGTCACATCTGTGTTTCTGTCCCATGAATAATGACTATTTATACCTGCAGTACTAAACTAAGAGGCAGGCTACATCACCTCAGGCCTGTCCAGAGATAAAAACTGAGGGATCTTTCTCACAGGGCTCCATGTAGGCTCTCCAAATCCAGATACTCTAACAGGACTCTGTCACCAGAACATATAATGCATCTCATTTCTTTAAGGTGTTCACAAACAGAAATGTAAAATCGACAAGTGGTGATCAACACTATGCTCAGTGACTGTGTGCAGCTTCCTGAAGTTCTGTTGTGAAGCTGAGCTTGTCAGGTCTGGTACCACTGTGCTTCAGTGACCTTAGTTAAAACAACAATCAACAACAGCTGCATTGATGGGGGTATTTGGTTTCATATACCGGAGAGACAATGAAATACAATCCAGGAAGTCCAGTTGGATGAATGGATTTATGTGTTGTAATACTCACAGAAAGGTTTGTACAAGTCTGGAAAGATATCACACCAACTGTTTTATCTTGAGGTCAACATTTTACAAAGGATCCCCTGGGAATGCAAGTTGCACGTGCATGAATGGTCAACACTACGCCTTACCAGATGACGTCACATCTGTTTTGCAGAAAAAGATTAGCCTAGACTATGGTGGAACCATGCCCGACCCGTGACAGGACCGTGTACGCCCCTCTTCTTACCGTGTATCCCCCATGATGATGCAATGATCGCAGTGCTGCCTTGTTAACTCCCCTAAGCACTGTGTGTGCGAGCCGCCCACTGTGTTGTATATATCCACTAGGTGGAGCAGTGTTTGTTGTAGTTCATATAAGAGATAATTTGATCCTTTTGTTGGTGCCCAGACCTGCTGATGGATGAGAACAGTAGGACGCCGGACTGAGCTGAGGCGCTGGGTTGGCAGTGGCTGCCTACATATTAATCAGTGTCCGTGTCTGTCACAGTAATAACTACTATTTCATTATGTTTATAAGGTCAGCCCTTATACGCCTTTTGAGACATCATGCCACTGGCAGTTATTGCATTATGTCTACATTTATTGAATAGTTAAATCAGCGTTGTCAGCTCTACGCTGTAGAAAAGAGACAGTCACTCTCAGGCTCTGTTACTCTTTATGCTCTCCTGAATAGTACCTCTGTCTTTTTCTCCTTTTCAGGGCCAGTCTTGGACAAAAACAAACACTTTCTCTTCTAAAAATTACATTCCTATATAGCCTATGCAACTAAACTACACTTGTGTGTCTGTCTGTCTGTTTACGCCTGTGCTTTTTGTACCCATGTCCAACATTTTTCAGATTTTCAAAGAATCAAAAATATTGGAGCATCAATGACATAAAAAAAAATCTCCAAAACACCAAAAGTGTGTCAACTTTCCTGGCTTAGTCTTGATATCTCATCTAGTCAAGTCTCTTGAGGTCTTGTTTTGCATTTCCTTTAAATGCAGTCTTTGCAGATGTAACCATCTTCATCAAAAATACCATTATCCCTGTTTTTCTTTTGTCTCTTCCCACTTTTCCTTTCTCTGCCTATCCTGCCTGTCTGCAATGCACAATTGTAAAAATAAATGTTAGGATTTTTGCATCAACATAACAACACCTATAAACGTGTTTCTGCACTCAGTTCCCCCATACCTTCTCTGTACGAGGGTATGTATGTGTGACTTATGTTAGCTTAGGTCCATGGTTCTCAAAGTGTGGGGCACGCCCCACTAGTGGGGAATAAAGACATGACAGGTGGGGCGCAATGAACAGAGAAAATTAGAAATGGGTCATTAATACAAGTAAATTAAAATAACATCAGTTCGG